AGGAGCAAGTGTTGCCAGTGGTAAATGTCCAACTTCACACTCAGGGTCCCTCAAAAGTTGGGGAGTGTTCATAAGCCCTGAAACTGCTGATAATATTGACATGGGAATATGGAGTTTCTTCTACTTTAATAACCGCTATCACACCTATAAAACATGTTTTCTTAAAAATTGCATCTTTCAAAGTCTTCTAGTGATCATTCTTTAATGGATATATCAGACTTGCATTACCAATACATGATTTTTGATTTTTAAAAATAATCAGCTATCTAAAGATCTCATTATGGGTTTTCTCCTTCAATCAATCAATCAATCAATCTCTCTCTCTCTCCGTTTCTCCTCTCATTCCTCCTCTGTCCCCTTTTGGCACCCTTTGGCCTAATACCCAATTTTTTTATTTTTAATAAATTTATTTATTTATTTTTGGCTGTGTTGGGTTTTCATTTCTGTGTGAGGGCCCTCTCCAGTTGTGGTGAGCGGGGAACACTCTTCATCGCTGTGCGCGGGCCCCTCACCGTTGCGGCCTCTCCTGTTGCAGAGCACAGGCTCCAGACACGCAGGCTCAGTAGCCGTGGCTCACGGGCTTAGTTGCTCCGCGGCATATGGGATCTTCCCAGACCAGGGCTCGAACCCGTGTCCCCTGCATTGGCAGGCAGATTCCCAACCACTGCACCACCAGGGAAGCCCCCCATTTTGTTTTTATTCTTCTATACTTTTGTTTGTTGTGCTGCTTTTGCTCTTATCTAAGTGAGATTAAACAATACAAATATCTATCGGTATTTGCAGGAATTTTCCCCCAAAGTAATAGAGAGTTCTAATTCTGCTCTGATTGAATTGAACGCCCTGTTTTATTAAACATGGAGAAAAGTGTAGATAATTCTACTAATTTGTAAGTGGCTCTAACTAGTTAGTATTTTCATTATTTTTGGAGGATTTAACATATTTTAGTTTGTATGAAAATATGTATGTTGGTTACAGTATGAACCAGAATAATAAATGAATCAGAGAAAGAAAACTTTATGCAGTTTCCTCTCCTTTTTCGAGGTGGGTATGGGAGGGTGGTTTGGGTTTTTTAGTTTTTATCTATGGAAGGGGTACTTGAAATTTAAAGCATTGTATTTCTGAATTAGTTCATTCCTTTATTTTGGCCATTGTTCATTGTCATATTAGCAGAGAAGTAGATTCTCATTGAGAGTGTACAACATTTGCTTAATGTGAAAGCTCAGTATCAGTGTCATTTGAAATTAAGGAAGTGTCTACATGATTTCTGGTCTTTGAGATCGTTCTTGTAAAATCTACTGAGGTGATATTTTGCATTTATAGGTCAAGAGATCTTTTAAAGATTGCAGTTAGAAATGTTTTCCATGATTATTCCTATTTTAATTTGATAGGAATATGAGATCCAAAGAAATTCTGATTTTGAACTAATTTTTTATAAATTTCACTTGGGATGAATAGAGAGAGAGATGAGTTTTGTAATAAAGCAAACAAAAAGTACCTATTCACAAGGCAAGAGGAGAGAATCCAGCTGCTTCTAGTTTTTTTGTTTTTTTTTTTTACATCTTTATTGGAGTATAATTGCTTTACAATGGTGTGTTAGTTTCTGCTTTATAACAAAGTGAATACATATACATATGTTCCCATATCTCTTCCCTCTTGAGTCTTCCTCCCTCCCACCCTCCCTATCCCACCCCTCTAGGTTGTCACAAACCACCAAGCTGATTTCCCTGTGCTATGTGGCTGCTTCCCACTAGCTATCCATTTCACGTTTGGTAGTGTATATATGTCCATGCCACTCTCTCGCTTTGTCACAGCTTCCCCTTCCCCTTCCCCATATCCTCACGTCCATTCTTTAGTAGGTCTGTGTCTATATATGTGTGTTAGCATACAGTATTTGTCTTTCTCTTTCTGACTTACTTCACTCTGTATGACAGACTCTAGGTCCATCCACCTCATTACAAATAGCTCAATTTCATTTCTTTTTATGGCTGAGTAATATTCCATTGTATATATGTGTCACATCTTCTTTATCCGTTCATCCGATGATGGACACTTAGGTTGTTTCCATCTCCTAGCTATTGTAAATAGAGCTGCAATGAACATTTTGGTACATGACTCTTTTTGAATTATGGTTTTCTTAGGGTATATGCCCAGTAGTGGGATTGCTGGGTCATTTGGTAGTTCTATTTGTAGTTTTTTAAGGAACCTCCATACTGTTCTCCATAGTGGCTGTACCAATTCACATTCCCACCAGCAGTGCAAGAGTGTTCCCTTTTCTCCACACCCTCTCCAGCATTTATTGTTTCTAGATTTTTTGATGATGGCCATTCTGACTGCTTCTAGTTTTGTATTTACGTTTGCTGTTGCAGGTGGAGTAGAAATGTAGCCAAATAGGGTACTTCTGGCAAACTTGATTCTGTTGGTATTTACCACATCTCTCAGAATTTAGTGTCCATGCAATTCAGCCAAGGTGCTTTTGTTAAATATGCCACATACATATTTCCCTTCCCCCCCCATCACTGATTTAGTAGATCTGGGTGATCTGAAATGTGGGCAACATTTTTTCTTACTTGGAAGCACTCTGTATTTCTGTCTCTTGATAGGTAATTTTTATCAAGTAACTCATTCTGAAAATGGATGAGAAAAAGTTGCTTTTTAGCTTTCCATATGACTGATTTAATGCACACAATGTTCTTACACAGTTGCTTACACTATAATAAATGCCAGGAGGTGTTTGTTATTGGGGTGGGGGAAAGTTTAGCTTTACAATGCTAACCCAGCTTGGAGACCTGCACTTTCACACGACCTTTCTCAACAGCAAGATTGCTGCCTCTCATCCTGCCTGTGTGAAATTCTAGAGCAGCCTCTGCCACTAATTCTTCTATAACAACTTTTTATTTGTCTTCACCAGACTTTTAGGAATACATTGTCAGCAAACAAGCAACCCAAGCAGGTTTTTAACACTGAAGAAGGGACTGGTTATTGGTAGATCTTTCATACATTTTAATTGTAACTGAAATATCTTGTACTTCTTGAAACAAAATATTTGATGTAAAACTAGAGTTTATTTATTTTAAAGAGATTAAACTTAACTTTAAAATAGTAAAAGTTAAACAGTAAACAGTACTGATATGGGAACCAGATTGCCAGGCTCCATAGTGTGAATAATTAACTGGCCTAATGTTCAGGTAATCTAGGTTCTAATGCCAGCTCCTTCCTCAAATCTTTTTGTAGCTTGTCAAGTCCATTATGCTCAATCAAATGGCTATTATTAAACCGTGTAAACTTGAATGGATTATCAGAACCTAGCTGAACTGATCTTGGAGAGGCAGCAGTGAGCAGTGGCTTAATTCCCTGCCCAGGAATTGAACCTGGGTAGCCTGGATGAAAACCAGGAACTTTAGCCACCAGACCATCAAAGGCTAGAGGCTAGAAGTTATTTTTCCTTGGTTCTCGCCCCCAGTTAAAAATGTATTTCTCATGGAGGCAAAAACTGTAAAAACAGGTACAAAGTTTATTATTAGGGACATAGCACAACAATTGGGATAGAACACAAAGAAATTGTTTAGTTAAGATAGAAGTGAGGCAGAGACGCACACCCAGAGAGAAAGGGTGTGGGCATCCTCCCTAATGAGGAAAGCGGTAAAGAGGTGGTTAAGTCACTTATATAGGGCAGTTCTTCAGGGTCTTTGTTTACCTTTGGCCAATTATCTGGTTTCTTCTTCCACACCTGACCTGCCATAGGACGCTTCCCAATATGCATGCCCAACTTTTTTCCAAAATGGATTTCAGCCCAGGAGTGGCCTTACAGTCACATATTATGGGGTGGTGCCCCCTCCTTTTTGAGCCTTTCTGCGCATGTGCAGTGTCTCCCTTGCCCCAAGGATGGGAAATGCATGACCTCTTGATCTTTACTCAGACAGGGTTTAGCCCCTCTCTGTTCCTGCCATGACTGTTATCTTAGAGTGTCCTCAGGAGACAAAGCCTAGCTATTTAACCTGTTCTGTTATTATTTCTATTTCAAAGTGCAAACAGGAGGCTGGTTGTAAATATCTAACCTGGAGCCCACCTATCTCCTGTCTCAGGAAATATAAACAGGAGGCTATTTGTAAGTGTCCAGCCTGAAACCCATCTTTTTCTCTCCCCAAGGAATGTAAATAGGCAGGCAAGTTGTAAATCTCTATCCTGGAGCCCATCTATCTCCTGTCTCAGAACTAGCTGTTTAATGCCAAGGATCAGCGGCAAACAAGATCACTTTAATCAATTTATACTCATGCACACTTTGGTCACGTTTAAATGGCTAGTGGTAATTTAGACATGTCTAGGAAAATTTTCTATGTGCCTGTGACAAACAAACTGTGCAGGCAGTAGTATCTAAGGAGAACAAAAATTAACAGTTTTAAGGTACACCTTACTTATTCTTTGAATAAGGAAAGTTGAGTTTTTTTCACTCTAAGAAATTGTACCTGAACACAGGCTGGGGTCCAGTTATGAGACATTCATGGATTCACACACTGACCCAACACTGGGATACACAATCTTAGGCCAGCCGGCTAGTCAGCCAACCAGGCACCTTTGAATGTGTGCATCCTTTTTGCCCCAGCCTTAATTACCTTTCATGTCAGGCTTCTTATTTGTCAGTGGTATTGCTACTAGTTCTGCCTATCTCACAGATGCTATTGTGTGAATAGAATGAACATGTGCAAATGATTCTCACTTTTACCAGGAAGACACTCTGAGCTAATGTCTTCTTGTAGCCATCTCTGTAATCAAGTAAAAAGTAGTAGGTCAAAAAGAATGGTTTTAGAATTGAAATGTAAATATGAGCTAATGAGTGAATTTTCTGTTATTTAGGACAATGATGCTAGTCTTTCACTGAGCAAGTAGAATAATTAAATCATAATTCCTTTCATTATTAAATAAACCAATATCCATTCTACTTTGTAATGGACTGTATCTTGGGGTTATAAGATGGTCCTGTTTACCCTGGTTCTTCTTCACAGGGTTGGCCTTTGCTGTTCTCTCATCTGTGCACCCCGTGTTTGGTTTGTATGGGTCTCTGTTTCCTGCCATCATTTATGCCATATTTGGAATGGGACGTCATGTTGCCACAGGTAATAATTTCTGTCTATGCTTATGCTTCTCATATTACTAATGAAGGGACTCAGAAGTGATCATTTGTTACGGATTACATTTCCAATGTAATTCTTACTTTACTACTGAAAATATTAGGGCAAATATTATCAGCAAATAATATCAGCAAATATTAGGGCAAAACATTTAACTTTTTGTGCCTCAACACATACTGTGATTTATTGCTATATTACTATGTAACCAAGGTTATTGTTAAAGATTCTGTTCATTTTTAAGTTGTAAAAAGACTGTAAGAGAAGGATAAATATTCTGAATTTACAATGAAATGAAAATAAGCACTCTGAGGAAAAGACTATAAAATTTAGTTACTCAAATATTGAAAACTATTTTCCATGTAATTAATATTTAGATTAAACAATCTTTTAAGTTTCTTCCAAGCTAGGTTCTACAATGCCCTCTAATTAGTATATCTCTTACATTGCCTAGCATTTCATTACCAAATAAAATGTGAACAAGTAATCTGATAATAGACCAGCCTGGTTAAAAACAAAGGCTTGGAAGTTAGATAGACCTGGGTGTGTGTCACATTTGGTGTTTGCTATCTGCATGAGCTTGGGCAAAGTTTTAAAGGTCTATTTGCTGCTTTCTTGATAGTAAAATGTCAAAAAAAATCATGATTATATTGATAACATAATTAATGTACAAGTGTCTAATTTATTACTTGCTACCTAAAAATTAATAAAAGCTGTTATCTTTAAAAAATGATACCTTAATCTTAAATATTATGGTAATAATAATAAAAGTACTCAAGAGGAAATATCCATAGAGGCATTTTATCCATTTTGTTTATGCAAGATATCAGTCTGTAAGCAAGTAATACCATTTTGTGTCTATTTCTTCAGTGGTCAGTTTGTGTTATGGAAGAAAACTTTATTTCCTACAAGAAAAATTTATTATCCCATAGTTTTAGAGATCAGAAGTTTGAAATGAGGCCCACAGGGCTAAAATTGAGATGTCAGTAGAGCTGCATTTCTTTCTGGAGGTTCTAGAGAACAATTTGGTTTTCTTAACTTTTCCAGCTTCTAAAGGCTTCCTGAATTCTTGGCTCAAATGCTTCATTTTCAGAGTCAGCAGGGAAATCTCTTTCTGATTATTATCTTTTACTTCCATCCTCCATGTTTAAAGGACCCTTGTGATTACACTGGGTACACCTAGACAATCCAGGATAATCTCCTTATCTGAAGGTCAGTTTATTAGCAACCTTAATTCCATCTGCAACATTAATTACCCTTTGACATGTTACATAAGATATTTACAGGATGTGGATGCATTTGGAAGGCCATAATTCTGCCTACCACATTGATACATGCATTTTCTCATGCAGAAATTAACCTATAAAATAATGTCTTTTTAATGTAAATTTGGCTTCTTATATAATCAACTTTGTCATGGAGGATAGGATCAACAATTATCAGACATTTACAACACTGCTACTTAAAGTATGGTCCACGAACCGGCAGGATCAATTTTATGTGGAATCTTGCTAGAAATGCAAAATCTTGTTCCCACTTCAGATCTATTCAATCAGGATCAGCATTTTCACACAATCTCCAGTTTTTTTTAAAAAAGCATCTATCTACACATGTATATATGTACTTAAATTTGAGAACCTTAGGTGTACTATTTATTAGATGCTTTATTAAGAGCTTTACATGTGCTATTTTATCTTAATACAATTATTTTAAATAGACATCATTATTTGCATATTTAGGTTAAAAATACCTCTTAATTTCATAAAGTTTTCTGTGAGAGCACAGATTAAGTTGTAGGTGCATGGATTACAAGCCAGGTGTGGTCAAATCTGAAGCCCAAGCTTTTCCTCTTTACAACCAGCTGCTCAAGAATGCAGTTTCCTTTTGTGTTGATGTAAAGAGAGAAAAGCACAATAATAAATTAGAAGTTCTTGAAGCCTATTATATTCAAAATTTCCTGCTCCCTAATTTCCTAGGAAATTTATTTTCATTCTTCAAAACATTTAAATATGTCATTAGCAAGAGAAAGCAGATTATTTTTAGAGCTGAACTCAAAACATCTCCTCTGTTAAACAAAGGATAAAAGAAAAGGTAAAAAAAAAAATCCCAATAGACCATAATTACTTTAAGAAGTCAAAAATACTTAACTTGATATACCTAAGTATGTATTTACATAAACCACTTTATTTCCTAAGGAATCATAAACATTTTACTGGTGACATGGTTTTGAAATTGCTATTTATATAAAACTTTGGATTTAACAAATATTATTAACAGCTATAGGAATCTCGTAGTCTACTAGGTAAATAATATACATTTCAAAATACATATAATTTACAGGCTTTATTATAGATACTGTATAGCACAATAAATGCTTAAGGCATTTTATTTCTGCATAAGCACTTCTCCAAAAGACAGAGCCAGCTGGATCTCCTCATTTCTCTTTTTATCCCAACAGATTTAGAATTCTTTAGAATCAGTAAAGAAGAAATGATCCTTTTTCCTCATGGTATTATATTTCTATATATACACATTACCACTTGTATAAGGCTCTGTATTTAACAAATTTAATAATATTAAATATAATATATATATCAGGAGAAATACACAAACTATTTTTGAACTTCCTATGATCTTAATTATAGAAACCAACCTAAATTTTCTGCAAACATTTAGTATAGAGAACATATTTTTCTTTTAAATAATATTATTGTACTTTATTTTGGTGTATATATATATACATGTGTGTGTGGGAATGCCTACTTCCATTTTACTATTAAGAGATTGATGTTGCTTTCATAAAGAAAAATCACATTATCTGGGATTTTCCCTTCAACTCAGGTAATCAGAATGCAATAATGAATTACTAAATGCAATAATAAATAATGCTTGAGGTATCTTTAAAAGCAAATAATTCAAAAGCTAGAATATAAAGACACCAAATGTGCTGTATTTTTAACAGCAAAATTTTCTTATTTTAATTTAAAATACATATATATTTTAAAAAGGAATAAATCATTGATTGCTTCTTGTGACTTGCAAAGAACATATCTTAGACTAAAAAGGAAAAGAACAGAAACTTGGGTATCAGTCCAGTGGAAACAAAATTGTTGAAGATAACCCATATGTGACAATTTGTAGGATATAATTATCTTCTAAATTAGAGAAAAAAATTTTAAAGAGAAAAATATGTTCATTAATTTAGAGAAAAGATTAGGGAGACAATAGAATTCTCTGTAGAAGAAAAGAAAATAAGCAAACAATTATTTACCAAATGTGGTAGGAATTGTGACAGATGTTTTTATATATGAAATATCACTTAATCTCTACCCAGATTTTGTAGCTAGATATTTTATCATCATCTTACAAATAAGCAAGCTGAGAGAGATTAGGTACCTTGACCAGGAATTTGAACTTAGCCCTGTCCAATTCTGAGGCCCCAATTCACCTCCTATTAGGTCTTGCCACCCACTCTTAAGCTACTAGATGGGTTTAGTGGTATTTAAGGGTACCACTAGTAGGTTTAAAGCCTAACCAGAATGAAACATTGAGAAATTGAAGGAAAGAGCAGAGGAGTAATAGGGAGGAGATAAAGACAAAGCAAGACCAATAAGATAGAGAAGGTAAAATGTCATTCACAACATCATCATATAGTCACCAGCAGCCTCAACATCCTTGATTGTTCTCAACTATCTCAGAAACAGCAAAGTGTCATCCTTTGAAAAGAGGCAATACTCCCATAACCATGTTGACACAGTAAGTAACCCCATAGCCATTTCTGGCAATGACTCTCTCTAGAGAAGTTCTTGGGATGTGACTCACACACAGGTGAGACTCACTTTTCTTTTCTCAACAAAACATTTTTGATGGCTGTTCTCTCTTACCATTCAATTCCTTCTTATCTTCTTTCAAATCTTAGGAAAGCTAGGCCTACTCAAAAATTAATTCTAGATCATTTTTGTTCTCAGTTCTCTAGTCATTTGTTCAGTGGCTTTTGTACAAATCATTTTGCTCTATGTTCTAGATTTAAAGGCCAAAATACACACTTCTTTACTTTCAGGAATATAAGACTTTGAGAAATTCTGTTGTAGCATACCTTGAAAAAATAAGGCAAGGGCAGATCCTATGGCAAATATTCCTTATTTGGCATTGCCAATCCTTGATGTCAGAATCTTGGCTCTAATCATTATATATATTTGGTCCTTGATGTGTTCTTAATTTAGTACTTTATGATGAGAACAGTGATCATGACAGTTGATATTTATTGATGATTTATTGAGAATGACTTAGCTCCCTAAGAGGAATTTATGCAATTTGCTCTATGTATTTATATACCATCAATTCAACAGAACAGTGAACATCGAATAACAGACTATAACAGAGCATTCTGGTTTTAATCTTATTAAAAATTACTTTTTTTAGGTGTCAGCTACATGCAATATATTGAGATATGTGGTATAGTACATTATTTCATTTAAGTCTCATCACAACCCCATTGGGTGAGGAATGCTTTCTGTCTTTAGATAAAGATATTGAGATGGCGGTACTGAGATTTAAGGTGAGGTTTATTGGAGGCTACAATCACCATACTATTCTGAATCACAGCACATACTGCCTCACTTATCCTTTAAAACCAAAGGATTTTCTGTGTCAGCTTTCCATTGAGACTTTGTTTCTGTCTGACTTGGCTCTCTTGCCCTATGAGGCTGCATACCATTTGTTGAGATGTCTATATCTTGTGACAGGCCCTTTTTCACACAGTGTCATTTATGACCTGGGGCAAAGTAAGGTCTTTAGGTAAAGGGTTGGGGGAATGTTTTTACCATGCTGCAATTTGTTTTTTTAATCCAAAATTGCTGAACCCTCTCTTTGGGAAATGGCATTTCCCTGCTGGTGTGGCTACATTCTCAGACATGCTGTGCCAAGATAAGAGCATCAGAACTCTTGGCAGGAAGAGGGGAACACACTGAAAATGGTCCTGCATTTTTGTGAGGCCAGGACAATTCCTGGGATATACCTTTGAAACTTATCTAGTTACAGTAGACAGAAATGGTATGTTTCATCATTTTATGGGCCACAGCATGCTGTTATACTATAATAAAGGTGTATTCTGTTATGAGAGCACAGGGAATAGAAATATTTAACCTGGACTGGGGAATCTGGGATGGATCTATGTTGAATATGGAATTTGATCCAGACCAGGAAAGACAAGGATGTTTTCATAAGTAGATTGGAGGAGCAAGAATTTCAGTCAATGAGCCCCAGATTCAGCAAAGAGTCATATTTTCCACTGAGCCTATTGAGGTCTTCATATTTATCATCTCATTTATATTCTCCTCAAACTCTAAAACATAGGCATTATTACCTGCATTTTATGGATGAGGTGATTTAGACTCAAAGTAATGTGCTCTAAATCGTGATAGTGATAAATGGAGGAGCTGGATTCAAATCCACACCATGATCTTAATCCCTGTTTTGAGGACATTCTCTATGTAGGTCTGCAGAGAGGTAGGAAAATGTATGGCCTAGGAGGGAATAGCAAGTAGATGGCATGGCTGTATGTGGAAGAAATTTGTATGTAAAAAGGTGAGTTTCTGTTTATTCCATGGAGTAAGTGTGGAATAGTGGGGGTGCAGAGGAGAGTGCTTCTAATAGATCTGTTTTGGTTTTACAACATGGATTCAACTTTAATGGTGGAATCCAATAATGTTTATTGAGTCTGTTACTAACAGAAGATCCCCCCCACCCGCTTTAGGCACCTTTGCCTTGACATCCTTAATATCAGCTAATGCAGTGGAACGGCTTGTCCCTCTGAACAGTCAGAACCTTACCACACAGAGTAACACAAGTGTGCTGGGCTTATCTGACTTTGAGATGCAAAGGATTGGTGTTGCTGCAGCTGTTTCCTTCTTGGGAGGTGTGATTCAGGTAAGTATACTGAAACTTGGGAATAAAGAAAGGGAGACAGTAGCAAAGAAAAGGCAATTGGTGTTTTATTTATTAAAGTCATCTTTTCTTGTCAATTGAATTTTTCTTCCAGTTTTATTGAGATAATTGACATACAGCACTATATAAGCTTAAGGTGTACAGCATAATGATTTGACATACATACATCATGGAATTTAAGTTTAATGAACATCCATCATCTCATATAGATACAAAATTAAAGAAATAGAAAAAAAAGTATTTTTTCTTATACTGAGAACACTTAGGATTTACCCTCTTAACAACTTCCATGTATAACATACAGCAGTATTAATTACATTTATCACATTGTATTTATCTTATAGTTACATAATATAGTGATTCGATATTGCTATATATTTCAAAATAATCACCATAATAAGTCTAGTTAAGATCTGTCACCATACAAAGATATTACATAATTATTGACTATATTCCCCACACTGTGTATTTCATACCTGTGACTCATTTGTTTTGCAACTGGAAGTTTGTACTTCTATTTTCTTTCAACTATTTCTTTCCTTTCCCCACCCACCTCCCTCTGGCAACCATCTATTTGTTCTCTCTATATTTCTACTTCTGTTTTGTTATGTTTATTTATTGTTTTGTTTTTTAGATTCCATATATAAATCATACAGTATTTGTCTTTCCTTGTCTGACTTATTTTACTGAGCATAATACCCTCTAGGTCCATCCATGTTGTCGCAAATGGCAAGATTTCATTATTTATATGGTTGAGTAATATTCCATTGTATACATAGACCACATCTTCTTTATTCATTCTTCTACTGATGGGCATTTAGGTTGCTTCCATATCTTGGCTATTATAAATAATGCTGCAATAAACATAGGGGTGCATATATCTTTTCTAATTAGTGTTTTCATTTTCTTTGAATAAATACCCAGGAGTAGAAGTGCTGGATAATATTGTATTTCTATTTGTAATTTTTTGAGGACTCTCCCTAATGTATTCCATAGTGGCTGCACTTATTTACATTCCCACAAATAGTACACCAGGGTTCCCTTTTCTCTACATCCTCACCAGCACTGGTTATTTGTTGTCTTTTTGATAATAACCATTCTGACAGGTGTGAGGTGATATTTCATTGTGGTTTTGATTTGCATTTCCCTTATGATTAATGATGTTGAGCATCTTTTCACGTGCCTTTTGACCAAATGTATGTCTTCTTTGGAAAAAATGTCTGTTCAGATCCTCTCCCATTTTTTAGTTGGGTTGTATGTTTTTTGATGTTGAGTTCTAGGAGTTTTTAATATTTTTTTGGATATTAAACCATTATCAGATATACTGTTTGCAATATCTTCTCCCATTCAGTAGGTGACCTTTTTGTTTTGTTCATAGATTCCTTCGCTGTACAAAACTTTTTAGTTTGATGAATCCCACTTGTTTGTTTTTGCTTTTGTTTCCCTTGTCTGAGGAAACATATCCAATAAAAGTATTACTAAGGCCAATGTCAAAGAGCATACTACCTGAATTTTTTTTTAATTAAAAAAAAAAACAGAACCAAAGAACATAATGCCTGTTTCTAGAGTTTTATGGTTTCAGGTCTTACATTTAAGTCTTTAATCTATTTTGAGTTAATTTTTGTGCATAGTGTGAGAGAGTAGTCCAGTTTGATTCTTTTGCTTGTAGCTGTCCAGTTTTCCCAACCACAATTATTGAAGAGGCTGTCTTTTCCCCATTGTATATTCCTGCTTCCTTTGTTGTAGGTTAATTAGCCATATAAGTGTGGGTTCATTTCTGGGTTCTCTATTCTGTTCCATTAATCTATGTGTCTGTTTTTGTGCCAGCAACATACTGTTTTGATTACTGTAGCTTCATAGTATAGTTTGAAATTGGGAGTGTGATACCTCCAACTTTGTTCTTTTTTCTCAAGATTGCTTTGGCTATTAGAGGCCTTTTGTGGTTCCATATAAATTTTAGGATCATTTGCTCTAGTTCTGTGAAAAATGCATGCCATTGGGATTTTGATACAGATTGCAATGAATTTGAAAGCATTATTTCCTCTGCAATTTTTTGGGGTAGTTTGAGAAGGATAAATGTTAACTCTTCTCTAAATGTTTGCTAGAATTCACCTGTGAAGCTGTTTGGTCCTGGACTTTTGTTTGTTGGTAGTTTGTTTGTTTGTTTTAATGGATTCAATTTCATTACTGGTATTTGATCTATTTGTATTTTCTATTTCTTCTTGGTACAATCTCGGGAAAGTGTACATTTCTACGAATTTGTCCATTTCTTCTTGGTTGTCCATTTTATTGGCATATAGTTTTTCTTAGTAATCTTTTATGATCCTTTATCTTTTCAAAGAACAAGCTTTTGGTTTCATTGACCTTTTTATTTATTTATTTATTTATTTTTAGTCTCCATTTAATTTATACCCTCTCTGATCTTTATAATGTTTTTCCTTCTGATGACTTTGTGTTTTGTTTGTTCTTCTTTTTCTGGTTCCTTTAGGTATCAGGTTAGGTTGTTTATTTGAGATTTTTCTTGTTTCCAGAGGTAAGCTTGTATCACTCTAAAGTCCCCCTTAGCACTGCCTTTTCTGCTTCCCATAGAATTTTGCATCCTTGTCTTTTCATTTCCATTAATCTTCTGATTTTTTTTATTTCAATTTTGATTTTTTCCTATTTGATTTAAAAATTTTGTTTAGTAGCATACTGTTTAGCTTCCATGAGTTTGTGTTTTTGCAGTTTTTTTTCTTGTAATTAATTTCTAGTCTCAAAGTGTTGTGGTCGGAAATGATGCTTAAAATGATTTCTGTTTTCTTAAATTTACAGAAACTTGCTTTGTGGTCTAGCACGGGATCTATCCTGAATATAGTTCAATGTACACTTGAAAAGAATGTATATTCATCAGCTTTTGGATAGAATGTTCTATATATGACTAGTAAGTCCATTTGGTATAATGCATCATTTAAGGCCACTCTTTGATTTTCTGTCTGGATGATCTATTCATTGATTTAAATGGGATGTTAAAGTCTCCCACTATTATTGTGTTATTGTCAATTTCTTTCTTTATGTCTGTTAATATTGGCTCTATGTATTTAGTTGTTCCTATGTTGAGTACATATATATTTACAATTGTTATATCTTTGTGGATTGATCCTTTTATCATTATGTAATGTTCTTTTTTGTCTCTTATTACAGTCTTTGTTTTAAAGTCTATTTTGTCTCATATAAATACTGATACCTCATCTTTCTTTTCATTTTCATTTTCATGGAATAACTTTTCCCAGCACCTCACTTTCAGTTTGCAGGTGTCTTTATTTCTGAAGTGAGTCTTTTGTAGACAGCATATATATGGGTCTTGTTTTTTTTATCCATTCAGTGACTCTATGTGGAGTGGATTTTTGATTGGAGCATTCAGTCCATTAACTTTCAAAGTAATTATTAATATTTATCTACTTAGTGCCATTTTGTTAATTGTTTTCTGATCATTTTGTGGTTGTTTTTTGCTCCTTTATTCTTCTTTTGTTCTCTTCCTTTGTGATCTGATAACTATCATTAGTGTTATCTTTGGATTCCTTTCTCTTCTATTGAGTGTGTATCTATTATAGGTTTTTGGTTTTTGGTTACTATGAGGTTTATGTATAGAAATCTCTCTATGTATATGTGATTATTTGGGGTTGTTCATTTCTTAAGTTCAAATGCATTCTAACAGTCCTGCCTCTCCCACCCCACATTTAATGTTTCATATTTTACAACTTTTAAAAAATATCCCTTAACTACTTATGGTGGTTTAGATGATTTTACTACTTTGGTCTTTAAACCTCCCAACTAGATTTATATGTGGTTGATTTACTACCTTCATTATGTATTTTCCTTTACCAATGAGATTTTTTTCTGTCTCAATTTTTATATATCTAGTTGTCTTTTTCACTTGGGGAAGTCCCTTTAACATTTCTTGTAAAGCTATTTTGGTGGTGTTTAACTCTTTCAGTTTTTGCCTGTCTTTAAAACTTTTCATCTCTTCATCAAATCTGAATGACAGTCTTGCCGGGTAGAGTATTCTTGGTTGTAGGGTTTTCTCCTTCATCACTTTAATTTATCATGCCACTCCCTGTGGTTTGTATAGTTTCTTCCAAAAAGTCAGCTGATAGCCTTATGGGAAGTCTCTTTTACGTAACTAGTTTCCTTTCCCTTGCTTATTTTAATATTTTCTCTTTATGTTTAATTTTTGACATTGTTATTTTAATGTGCCTTTGTGTGAACCTATTTTGGTTCATCTTGTTTGGAACTCTCTGTGTTTCCTGGACCTGGATGTCTGTTTCCTTTTCCAGGTTAGGGATATTTTCAGCCCTTATTTCTTCAAATAAGTTCTCTGCCCCTTTCTCTCTTCTTCTGGGACCCTTAAAATGTGAATGTTAGTATGCTTGATGTTGTCGCAGAGGTCTCTTTAACTGTCCTCATTTCTTTTTATTCTTTTTTCTGCTCACTTTCAGTGAATCTCACTACTCTGTCATCCAGCTACCGAATCCATTCTTCTAATTACTGTTGATTCCTTCTAGTGTGTTTTTTTTTATTTCAGTTACTGTATTCTTCATCTCTGTTTGGCTCTTCTTTATATTTTCTAACTCTTTGCTAAAAACCTTCTACCTTCTTACTCTGTTCATCCAATCTTCTCTTGAGTTGTCTGAGAATCTTTATGATCATTACCTTTAAGCTTTATTGGGGAGGTTGCATATCTCCACTTCACTTTGTTGTTTTTTCTATTGTTCTTTCATTTGGAATATATTCCTCTGTTACCTCTATTTGCCTAATTTGTTCTTTTTATTTCTATGTATTTGGTAGGTTGGCTATGTTTCCTGACCTCGGAGAAGTTGCTTTTTGTAGAAGATGTCCTATCTGTCCCAGCAGCACACTACTCTCTGATCACCAGTTCTATATATTGTTAGGTGTGCCCCCTATTGGGCTGTATGCATCCTTCTGTTTTTGCAGGCTGACTACTG